AGGTTACAGACTCCACTAACCCAGAAATAGTACCTCAGGTTAAGAACTTTGCTTCAGGTTGAAAACAGAAACCGTGTGGCAGCGGCGTAGTGGCAGTGGGAGGCCCCATTAGCTAAAGTGGTACCTCAGGTTAAGAACACTTTCAGGTTAAGAATGGACCTCCAGAACAAATTAAGTTCTTAACCCGAGGTACTACTGTATTGTGAATTTATGTTGTGAATCGCCCTGAGACCTGCGGGTATAGGGCAGCATACAAATTCAAATAATAATAATAATAATAATAATAATAATAATAACAACAACAACAACAACAACAACAACAACAACAACAACAACAACATAGATAGCTTTTTTAAAATAAATAACAAATTCCTGGAGGTGGAGGCCACTGAAGGCTACTAGTCATGGTGGCTATGCTATGCTTTTACAGTTGGAGGCAGTAATGCAGGCTTCCTCAACCTCAGCCCTCCAGATGTTTTGAAACTACAATTCCCATCATCCCTGACCACTGGTCCTGCTAGCTAGGGATCATGAGAGTTGTAGGCCAAAAACATATGGAGGGCTGAGGCTGAGGAAGCCTGCAGTAATGCTTCTGAATACCAGTTGCTGGAAACCACAAGAGAGGAGAGTGTTCTTGTGCCCAAATCCTGCTTCTGGGTGTCCCCCAGGAATCTGGTTGGCCACTGTGAGAACAGGATGCTGGACCAGATGAGCCATTGGCCTAACCCAGCAGGCTCTTCTTATGTTCTTAGGGCCAACCCAGCCATTAGCTAGAGTGAGTCAGCTGCCTCAGTCAGCAGATGGTGGAGGGGCAGAGTTGGGGAGCTGGGAGGATAGAACGGTGTGTTCTCTGCAGCCTGCCATTCATCCACTAATCTTGTTTGTAATGGAGGAGGCTGTCCTATCACTGCTGTTGAAATAAGATTCAAATTCCACCCTGGTCAATTTCTGAATGTGAAATGGAGAGTACCATTTTCCCCTTTGGCAAAATATTTTGAACCGCTCCTAGCAACAGCTTACGAATCTGTTCAACGGAGTGTCCCAAATGGCCGCTGCTAAATCATCACTGTATATTTAGGCAGACCCAGTTTGTAAATATTTTGAGCCCGGCTTCTGCATGTGTGTTCTGCAGTTCTGTGAACTGGCATTGGTTGATATTCAACGCTAATTAGGCTGTGCTGATTTGCAGTCAGTGTGTGAATCCGCCTGACTGTTTAAAAATATTTGTGTGAGCATTTCGTTTTCCCACTTGGCACCTCTCTCTTTTTGAAAAGGCTGGGTCTACCAATGAAAACCTTGCAGAGAATATAAATGATAGCTGAAATTAAATAATCAAATGGCACCAGCACCTACCCTTGGAAACAGAACAAAATTCGCCCAAATAATGCACTCCATGAAAAATAAAGGAAAAGAGAAATGCTATCAAGTTTGTTCAGCTGGAATATCTCACCAAGAGAGCTCTGCTCCCATAATATTTGGGCCAGAACCATGTCATAAATCTTAGGGCTATTAACCCAGTGTCTCATTCATCTCTGCTCGGCTACAGAAGAGCAATAACCTTGTCACTACAGGAAGGGAGATAGAGGCTTTTAATTGCGCTGAGATTACAGGAAAGCTCTTATCTTATAGTCCAATTTGTAACTCCAGATACAATTCTTTGCTCAAAGTCAGTGCCAGTCTATAGTGCCCCGTACTTAATAAATACTTCAAAAGTTTGTGTCCCCTACAGAAAAGACTGCTGCATTAAGGTCTCTTTGTAGAACCCGGTGCTAAGAGATGCCCTGCGGTCGTGCTGCTGAAGTAGCTGCATCACCACATTTCCATGATAAGAGGGGTAAATCCACCAAAACACCCCACATTTCCTGCTGGAACTTTCAGGGTGTACTTTGGTGATGACATAGATGTAAGGAAAGCCTTTCCATTCAGGTGTCCCCCTCCTAATTCTGATTCTGATTGCATGAGGAGGCACTGAATGTGAACCTGGACTTCCCCCACCAATATTTCTCCTTGACACAACCACTGCGAGTTAAATACACCAAAAGTGGGGCAGGGGAGAGCAACAATGTTAGGAACAGGGCCATAGCTAGGGGGTGGTGAGGTGGGCCCCCGCCAGGGGTGCAGGTGATGGGGGGGGCGCAAAATCGGCTAAAATATGTTCATAAATATAAATACTGATTATTGCCTCGAAAGAAATGGTTTTAAATAGAGGGTGAATTGAATGGGGGGGGTTGGAGGAGAGGTAGAAAGAAGAGCTAATTTGTCCATGGCTAGGTGGTGCAATCTGGATGGTTCTGCAAGCTACGGCTCTGGTTAGGAGCCAGAGTCAGGAGTAGGTCAGCAATAAACTTAACTTCACTAGTGTCAGAGAAGTTATCTCTCTATTCAATGAAACCAAAATAGTGCAAGACTAACGATCCCAGTGTTTCTGTGTTCTGCTCTGCTTCGCCAGAAGCGGCTTAGTCCTGCTGGCCACATGACCCAGAAGCTGTCTGCGGACAAACGCTGGCTCCCTCGGCCTATAGAGGGAGATGAGCATGGAACTCCAGAGGTGGAACTCCACAACTGGACCTAATGGTCAGGGGCACCTTTACCTTTACCTTAGTGATCCCAGATTCCCAGTAGGTCTTGCCCCAATGAGGCATTTGTGAGGACTGAAAGTCCCTGCCCTCCCACTGCTCTCTAAGGCTCCTCCACCTGTTCCTTCCCCAGCAGCCTAAAGCTCCATCTATTCTCTCATTCCTTTGCCCTCCTGCATGTTCTGGGAGAACGGGGGGAGGAGAACTGGTTGCAGCAGGAGGGGGAGGAGGATCCCTGAATTCTTCAGCAACCTGCCTCATCTATGTCTCCTGGCCCCCCTCTTCTGCCTCTGATTCTGGACTGCTCTCTGCCACAGCCTCTCCCTGCTCACCAAACCCTGTTGCCTCTACAGCTTCTGACACACCTCTCCTCCCAGTCCACTCCCTCTTTTCCCTTTGACCACGCATCATCATCCCACCACCAATCCCCTGGCTCCGAGCCTTCTTCCCCTGGGGGTTTCCCAACTGGTGCCTCCCACCACTCCTCTGCGTCCAGCAATTCTGTGACAGACAGACAAGCAAATGACTCCTTGGAGCCTCTTCCACCATCTATCAGCAGCTGCCCTCTGGGAAGGATTGCAGGGGAGAGACACGCAGGCAAAGATCACCCCAGCATCTTCTTCAGCTCGAAGGTTGTCCCCCCACCCCCACATACACAGCCAGGAATCTATCACCAGTTGCCCTATGGGGAGATTCCCAATGCCAGGAAATTTTTATTGGTTTTACTGTCATGTCATGTGCAAACAACCTAGCAACAGTTATATGTTCAGGATATTATTCTGTGTCAGGATAGAGCAGGTGTCCTTAGGTGTTCAGTCTCCACTGCTGGGAATCACAAGTGGGTAGGATGGTGGTATGTTCAGGAAAGTTTTTAATGTGTGACATTTTGATGTATTTTTAATTTTTGTTGGAAGCCACCCAGAGTGGCTGGAGAAACCCAGCCAGATGGGCAGGGTATTTCTTAGTGCACAAAGTGTTGATCTGATGTGTAGAGATCTTTCTTATTCTGATTAATACAAGAGGATTCTAGAAGCTACTGGAAGTTTCTCTGTGTGAGAGAAGCAGGCAGAAAGGTCATGATTGTTTGGGTTACACCTTCTGGGAAGCTGGCTTAAACTGGTTCTCCCATCTCTTCAAATTAAGGTCTTGCTGACTATAAATATAGACCAGAAGGAGCCTGGGTTTTACTTTCTCTTTCTATCTCTCTTCCTTCTGGTGTGGTGTTCTGTACATAGTATGCTTAGTGCTAAGGTTTAGTCTTATTATGAGTTAAGTTTATAAGTTTTATTGTAAGTGCTACAACTGGATTTTTATAGACTGTGCCAATCCTGAATGTATTGGATTAGCGACCATTACACTCATTTGCCTTCAGCACAAATAAAGCTCTGCTGGATGTACTATTGCCTCTGGTCTATTTTGGGGGAACTCTGCTACCTGTTTAAGGTTTTCCTCCACACGTATGACATGGTATGCTCAGGTCCTGCTTTGAGGCTTCCCATGTGCCTCTGCATTCCTGTGTGTTGGTCTACATGGGCCACTGGCCTGACCCAACCGGTTCATTCTATTTTCATAGATGTTAATATAAGCTCAGCCCAAACATGTGCCAGCCTCTTCAAATACACTAAGGGATAACAAAGGCCTCCAAAAATTACATTTCCACTGGGATCATCACATTTGTCTTAGTATTGTGTAGGATCAAGGTCACTTGGTTTGTTGATTGATATTTTCAGGGGTGTTTTTTGTATAAGCCATGGGTGCCAATATTTGGAGTGCCATTCTCTGCACCTGTAAAGAACTTTCCCAAGAGAAAAATAATGTGCTTTCACAAACGACGTGAAGAGCAAAACCCCATTTTCTTTCTTTTGTCCTGGAATAAAACTGAAATGACTGTGAAACTCTTACAATGCAGTACTGCAGCAGCAGCAGTAGCTCAGTTGGATAATTTTAGATTCCGGACTTAATGGTCTTACAGTGGGCCTTACTTTATAGAAGGTCAGCCCATTGGTCCATCTATATCAGTATTGTCCATACTGACTGGTGGTGGTTATCCAGAGTTTTAGGCAGGGTTCTCTCCCAGCCCTTCTTGGACATGCCAAGGAAATGTGAGCATCTGCATGCAAAGCAGATGCTGTACTACTCAGCTATGACCCCTTCCTCTAAAAAGGTGCCCTCTAGTTCTTTGATTCTGCTTCAAAATGTGATAAACCAGCCCTGCATTTGGGGGGGGGGGAGAAGCTCAGGTTCATTTTGCTGAGTACAGACCTGGACCTCTGCCCCAATGCCTTGCCTTGGTAGCACCACTGTACCGAGTCTAGAGATTACTGAAGACCCAAGTGACAAGCAAGCAACAAGAAAAAGAATGGTATTTTATTTTAATGAGAAATAATTCAGTGTTATAAACAAGTGAAACAGGCATACAACCAATAGGTCAGCTTTGTGAAAAGCTAGTTAATTAAATTAAAAATACACACGTCAGGGGTTTTTTTAAAAAAGAAAAAATACATGCAAAAGGTCTTAAGAACTATGCAACAAGCCATAAATGCCTAAAAACTAAATGTCAAATGGTACTAACATAAATCCTTCCAGTATTTATTAGCACTGCTGGGCTAAAAGAATATTAAATGATGATCAGTATGCATTACATGTTTCTATATTTAATGAGACTTCTGCTATAACATAACTTGTATTTTGGTTACCCATGAGATGTGAAAGATAGCTTCTTCCATCCAATCGAGTATTTTAACACAGATGCTGGTAGTAGCTGCCATTCTGTCATCTATGTACCACTTCTGTGGTGATCAAACTTTCTCAGTTCCTGCACCTTGACCTGCTAAATGGCTGCCAAGGTGAAAACTCACCTGGCTGGCAAGTGTCACCTGCACAGTAATCCTACTGGGGTTCTGTATCACTTGTAATGACTATTCAATGGATTAAGAAACCATTATATTGGAATTAGAGCAGTACATCTTTGGATGTTGTTAGAAATAACAATGACAGAATGAGAGTTGGGCAACAGTGTATTATATTTATTAGAATACAAAAACAAAAGTTTCTTAGGCCAATTTTCTTTTCTTTAACCCTGGCAGTAATGAATGACAGCAGGGTGCAATGTGACTCTTCAGTAAGACTCTGCAGTGTGGGCCATCATCCCTGATCACTGGTCATGCTGGCTGAGGCTGATGGGAGTTGGGAACCAACAACAGCCGGAGGTTCCTCATCTCTGGGTGACATGACATGATTCTGCTCAAGGTCATGTGGCCCAGATTCCTCTGGTTGTTGGTTACTATCTTAAGGCATTGCATAGCAGTGTGATCTCATGAAAAATATGGTATGGTGCCATTGTGACAAGGCAGTTTTGCCAGCACAAATTATCAGGACTGAAATGTAAGAGTGGCAGTAAATTCTGTGCTTTGCCACAAAGTCAGAAGTATATCGCTGGTTTTCTTATGACAGATAGTGTATTCAAATATATAAAAGAAGTGTTTGCTCTAAGAAATATTTGACATATTTCTATTCTATATGAGGATTTTCTGTTTAAGCTCATATGGCTGTTCAAGAGAGGATGAATTTAATGAAAGGAGAAGAAAGCAAATTGTAACTTTGTTTCCTCTGGAATTCAGTAAGCAGGTGGTGGTTATTTCAGAAATTTATATTAGATCAGTTTTACGTACTGTATGAAATTAAGTTTTTAACATTTTAAATTTTTTAATTGGCCTGTGTGTAATGGTGTTGTTTTAGCCTCGTATTTCATTTTGTTTCATCAAGGGCAACCAAACACTGAATGAAGTCTCAATGCATGAACTTTACATGAACTCAACACTGTACGTTGCAGTAATGTTCTGGTCTTAAACATCTACTTACATCTATTAAAAGAAACAACAAAAGGTACATTAGTAAACCAATTCTTCAGCTGTCTTTAACTGCTACTATAACAAATGTAGCGGAAGGAAACAGTTCTTATGGAAGTCTTTATAATGTCAGGAACTATACACAGTCATATTAAAAGAACATTTATAAACAGCAAGCCAAACCAAAGAAAATAAGAAAACAGACTTGAGAAAGGCTTCAAGTTAGGACTTTGCTGTTGCTTTGGTCTAAAACCATACGTTTAGGAAGGGATTATACATAGTCATATTTTGAAGGATAGGAACGTCTCCCGTCATCACTTTTGATAGTATTGGTTTCAACTACTGGGACCTTCTTGGCTTCATACCCAGTTCCAGACTTATATCCAGCGCTCTTGTAGGACACGGCCTTGTAACTGAAACAGAAATAAAACGCAAAGTGGTGTCACTTTGTGGAACTGTCTAAGATAACTGACTACTCAGAATCATCTGTTCTATTCCTTGTTACTTAGTGAAGAATATAATACAATTAGGTAAGCTCCATAAATATCCCTTTTCCATTTCACTACAGTAACATGTAGAACAGACTCAATCATTATGAAAGAAACCATTTTATGAAATGCTTAGTGGTTTTCTCATCATGCATGTAGGTAGGGATGGGTGAATCTGACAATTTTGGTTTCTCTCAGGTTCTCTCAGGAAGTATGACGGTAAGAGCTGTTCAACTGTGGAACAGACTCTCTCAGAAGGTGGTCTCCTCTCCTTCATTGGAAGTTTTTAAGCAGAGGTTGAATGGCCACCTGTCTTGGATGCTTTAGTTGAAATTCCTGTATTGCTGGGGATTGGACAAGATGACCCTCGGGGTCCCTTCCAATTCTACAGTTCTATTATTCTATTATTCTCTCATTTCTCCAGTCTAATGTTCAGTTGTCCACATTCGTTTGGGGGGGGAAATAAAAGGTTATCATGAAAAATTACCAGCATTTTAGTACAAAGTTCTCCTGGTATACACATTTTTCAATGCAATTTTGCCAAATTAATGCATTTTTTTGTTATTTATGTGCATTTTCCTAATATACACATGTTTCTTCTATACATTACTTGGCTAGAGAACTGTGTTCTAGTTCATGTATTGCTTTGGAAAGTTCAGTTTAGGTAAGTTCACTTTCAAAAGCAAACTGAGTCAATTTTCTCCTCCATCCCTGTGATTTAGTGTGGCCACTCTGCCACCTTTTAAGTTGGAGAATGAAGAAAAGGATCTGTCTTGCCCTTCCACATTACAACAGTTCCGTGAATATGCATAGGCACTCACTGGGTCTCTTCGGGTACCAGTCCTCTGCAGGCGATGCACATCATAATGCCTCCAACCAAGGCCAGGCCTCCAGCAACCCATCCCACAAACAGGGCAGCACCAAATGTGTATCTGGAAAGCAAAGTGAGTGATGGTACTTAGCTTACTCAAGTCCACGTGTCTTACTCAAGTCAATATGTTGCTTCTTAGAAAGGATATTTAAAATGAAGTTCAAGCCATGTATGGGAAACCTGTATCCCTCCAATTAAGGAATGCATCACCTCTAGTATTTAAATTAAAACAAGGGTTTTGTGCGAGGGTTGGCAAATACATTTGCTCAAAAGGAGTGGGAGGGGCATATTGCAGCCATGGCCTATAGTAGAGTATGTCTGTGTCATCACCCTGCCTCTATCCCGCTTGCCTGTTCTCCTGATCTAACTGACCAATGTACTCGTTTCTTTTGCACCATGTTTTGTAATCCCAGCCTACTCATTCTGTGCCTTCCACCCACACGATGTGGACCTAGCTAGCCCACATTACTGGGAGGAGGAACCATCGCTCTGTGATAGAGCACATGGAGGAGGTCCCTAATTTAGTGCATATTCACACCAGACTTTTTAAACAAATCCAATTCTCATTTAAGCTCATGACGTACTCCAGAGAATCCTGGGAAATGCTGTTTGTTGATGAAGCTGTGGATTGTGTAAAGGGGAAACTACACTTCTCATGATTATTATTGGGGGGGGTCATATGCTTTGAATGTGGATTTAGTATGCTTTGAATGTATGGTGCAGATCTGCCTTCAGTTTTCGGTATCTCCAGATTATATATATATATATTTTAAAAAGATAAGGTAACAGGTGATGAAAAACACCTCTGTCTAGCACCTCATAAAACTGTGGCCAATCAAAATATATAATATTGGGCTATATGGACAAAACTGGGCTATAGACCCAGGATAAAGTAGTTTCCTCTGTTACTGTGTGATCCATGACATTATTTTATACACTTGACTTGGCATGCATACATTGAGTATATTACCAATGAATCTAGTTAATGCTTGGCAAAGAAGATGACACTAACTTATAAAGCCAGTCTAGACTACAGAGCACATCAGTTTTGTATCAGTTTAATAGTGTTGAACCATAGAATCCTGAAAACGGTAGCTTGGTGAAGGTGTTGAAAATAGCCCCTCCCAAGGAATACAATTTCCAGGCGTGAAGAATTCATTCCTCTTCTGTAGTTATGCCTTAAGTCTCATCATTATGGCTAGACATGTCATGAATGAAACACACAAGTGGCTGCACACACACACACCCCAACACTGAATGCTGTGCATGACCCAGAATTACCTTGTCTGGAGTGTCTGCATCATTCCTGGTTGATACATATTAGCTGTTGACATCCAAAAGTTTGTAACAAGCATGTTGGCAAAAACAGATACCCCACAGATAGCACAGAGACCTGTCAGAGAGAAGGGATCATTACTTGCTGCCAGAATGAAATTCAAGGTGGTCAAGGCCAGATTTTTAAACTTAATTTTACTTACAAAACAGGAATCCATAGAATAATATCATCAATGCCCAGGTATGTGAATGCTGCTACCTTTCACTGCAGGTGTGTATTTATACCAAGTTAGATATCTTAAACTATGTTACCCGGAAATGTAAAAAGTAGGGTCAGGTGCAAGTGTCCTTGAATCAAATTGGTAATATTAAGCTGGTGTTGCATCTAAGCAACAGAACACCCAGTTTATTGCACTAGTATAGTTCAGGAGAGTCCAAGGCTTAGCGTTTGTTTTGCTGGTTGTGATGCTGGTGCTTCTGTTCCAGTTTCTAACATTCTCTTTATACTGCATACTGCACCTACTGCATTGTGGAAATGGTTGGCATCCATCTGTCTCAAGAGACAATGGAGTGCGCCTCCAGGGGTGAAGTCAAACCGCTGTGCTTGCAGTTCTGAAGTGACTTCCCTGGATCCACTATTGGCCTCATTTGCTCAATTCGCAGGAGCCTATCTTCACATGCAAGGGAAATCCCTAACTCACAGAAGGTTTAGGACCCATTGGCTACCCTCATCTGGTTTAGCTGGCCAGTCGAAACCATTCCTTGGGTGCGGCTGCTGTCACATCCTGACAGTTTCTAGGAGCCACAGATAGAGCTGAGCGCAGGGTGGGACCAAAAGGGGACAAGCTACCCCAAAGGAGGCATGATATGCCCCCCACGAGAGGTACTACCCCTCCCCAACTTCCCATTTCATTATTGAAATATGGGTTTTTTAATTGATATACCACATCAGACTAAATTTTAAACAGCGGGAAAGAGCTGTATGCTGGGATACAGCCCCAGATATTGTCATGTGAAAACTGTGGAAAATTATAATGCAAAACTTGTGAGGTTTTCTGTGTTAATAGGTTTGCACACTGATATTTTTTTTCTGGAAAAACTAGAAATGTTAGTTGCTTAATTTTCTACTATCCTAGAGTTCCAGAAGTGGCTTTTACATTGTGTGAAATATTACATAAAATGTGAAAAATTACAGGTATGGAAATGTCTGGAAAATGGAATGAAGTGCCATCTGAATGCACTCCAATGCCTGCTTATAAACTTTATTCGTCCCTTGTTGTAAGTTTGTTCAATGCTTTCAGCCCCTTTATTTCAATGGTCTCTTCCAGAACAGATGGCGCTGTGGAGCCCCAGTAAGAACCATCACTCACCAGCTACAATGCACATGATTCCAGCAGTCAGAGTCATGTTTGCTTTGGCAGAGTCCTCCATATTGCCGATCCGTAAACACTTCAGGGAAAAAATAGCCACCAGGAGGCTAAAAGCACCCAGCACGATGCCCACAATCATCAGAGCTCTCACAGCCTGGAACATCGCTGCAAAACACATGGGGGAAGGGGAGGAATCATTTAAATGAGTAGCAAAGGGATAATACCAATTCTTAATACAACCAAAATCAACTCTTATCAAAGGGCTGTGGTACAAAGGAACCATTGGCAAAATGTTCAGGGCAGGGGGGGAAACATGTTACTAAATGCAGAATTAAACATAACCTCTTGAGCTCGAGCTAATGTAGGCTGTTCATAAGAAAGAAGGGAAATGCCTGGTGATTTGTGAAATAAATATTGAAAGTCCCTTTCAGAAACATCCCCATCCGAAAGCTGCTCTCCATGCTTAATGTCTGTTGAGCAAACATCAAGAAGCACACATGTTCTTTTTGAGCAGAACAGGACTTCAGTTTGTTCCCTGTGGATATGGCCCTTGACATTTAGATAATGTGCCTGTGACATCTACTCTCTCATGTGTTTTGCCATTTTTGCCTTGTAGAAAGCTGGCCCATTCTGACTCGAGTCAACCTTTCAAACTCTTTTACCTCCAAGAAATATATATACTGCAAGAAGGAAGGTTACAGGAAACCAAGCAGAGGGCCTTCTCAGTAGTCATGCCAGCCCTGTGGAACGCCCTCCCATCAGATGTCAAGGAAATAAATAACTATCTGACTTCTAGAAGACATCTAGGGACGCTTTAAATGTTTGATGCCTTACTGTGTTTTAATTTGTTGGAAGCCACTCATAGTGGCTGAGGGAACCCAGTCAGATGGGCAGCATATGAATAATAATAATAATAATAATAATAATAATAATAATAATAATAATTTATTTATATCCTGCCCTCCCCAGCCGAAGCGGGGCTCAGAGCGGCTAACAATAGTAAAAATAACACAGTTTACATAAAATCACAATCAATTAATCGAAATACATTCTAAAACCAATTCATTCTAAAATCAATTCAGAGTCAAATTATTGGCAACCATTGGGCTAGAGTTCTATGAGGATTACAGAAGGAGGGGGTCAGACTGTGCCTTGGCCACAGGCCTGGTGGAACAGCTCTGTCTTGCAGCCCCTGCGGAAAGATGTCAAGTCCTGCAGGGCCCTAGTCTCTTGTGACAGAGTGTTCCACCAGGTCAGGGCCACAGCCGAAAAGGCCCTGGCTCTGGTTGAGGCCAGCCTAACCTCCCTGTGGCCCAGGATCTCCAAGATGTTTTTATTTGAAGACCGTAAGGTCCTCCATGGGACATACCAGGAGAGGCGGTCCCTTAGGTACGAGGGTCCTAAGCCATATAGGGCTTTAAAGGTTAAAACCAGCACCTTAAACCTGATACTTACCTCGTTTTTGGTTTGTTTGTTTTTGTTTAATCTATTTTAGTAATTCCATGGTGAAAGGTTTCTGAACAGGAAGCGATTAACAAGTTATTTGCCATACCATCTAAAGACCCTATTACCCTGTGTTATGAGAAGTCCATTTTGCAAACGGTTACCGACTGCCATACTATCTGCTGCAGCTGGTAAATGAGTCATTCTACACATGAGGTGTGGTCTAATTAGTCAACGCATGAACACTAATATTAACAATCCAAGCATTTTCAGACCCCCATTCATCAGCTCAGGCCTGATCTTCACTATTACACATAGGGAAACAAGAGTTCCTGGGCGAGTGCTAACAGTACCAAAGGGTGATCACTGCATGTTTTGTGTACAGAACAGAAGGAGGCAAACAGAAAGGCAATGCATGATCTGGCTGTGTATTATGTTCCACTTTCAGTTCCTCAAAATTCATTTCAGTGGCTCCTGTTTTACCAAGATCAGAAACTTAAAAACACATCTGAACAATAGATGAAAACCAAAAACATAATGAGAATAGATTGGCATATTTTGAAAGTTTGAGTGCTATTTTTAAAATAAAATGACTGGTGTTCTAACATATTATTTTGGCAGTAACTACATTTAATTTTCCTTTAAAAAAATATATTAAAAAAACCAAAACACCTATCCATATCTAGGACCACTTTGTATTCTTAAATCACCTTATATCCCAGCCCAATCACTGTGATCTTAGGGGGAGTCCCTGTTGGTGGTCCCCTGTGTCTCAGATGTACAGCACATAACTATTAGCTGCTGTGCATTCAGTGCCGTGGACCAAGACTATGGAACTCCCTCTCAACTGAGATTAGACATGCACACTCCTTGAGGAACTTCAAGTACATGACTAAGACTTTTTTTGCTCCAGCAGGCATTTAAAGGTAGTGTTTGGCTTTATGATAAAAAGAAATTCTGGGCCTTGTTTTATGTACACTGCTTTTAGATGTGAATAATTAAGTGGTATATTAAATAAGTAAGTAAGTAAGTAAGTAAATATCATGACCAACTTCACCATAAGGTCCCAGGGCAGGTTGCAGCAATTTCAAAATATAAAATTATATCAACTTAAAATCATACTACCATGGTTTCACCCTAGACATGTAAAGCCTGCTCACTTGAAAACTTGATTTCAAAAATTAGAAATGTGATTTTCAAAATGTGAAATACCGGTATATATTATTCATGACATATCAGATATGTTTCATTTAATATTTTTGAATGTCTGTCTATTCCAAAGTCATTTTATGGTTGCACTTACTGTATTTGCGGCCTATTTGCACTGACCCAGATGTTGAAATCACATCCTTTCTTGATAACAGAAATTTGCCCCTATCTACTTTCCAACAGGCACACACCCTGCCAAATACACTCATTACTTTGACCACAAAAAGTTCCACTAAAACTTCAGAAACATAAAAAGGCCAGAACGATACCTGAAAGTTTATTATTATTGTGGCCGAACAGCATACTAAAACCAGAATTTCTGCATGGTTCTTCACAAAAACAAGAAACAACATTTTCTCCTCCCAACATGTTCAGGCCAAGTATCTATATTACTTACCAGTGGGCGGTGGAAGGAGGGATTAAACCTATTTACTGTCATGTGGGAAAATTGTTTCTTTCATTGGTGGGTGTGCACACCGATATCCAAGATATGATATCAAATCACTTCATTCAAATAAATACACAGTCCCCAAATACCGTACACACTGAGTTAGTCTTGGTCTGGCGGGTAGAAACTGCTGCTTCTCCTCTGAAAAGGAGTTTGGTTAGTTTTCACTCTGGGTTTCTGGCACCTTTCCCCATAACAATAAAATATGATCTTTTAAAATGATGTGTGCAATTTAATATCCTCTGTGTGACAGTTTTATTCACAGCAATTGATTCTACATTTATAACTACATCACTGCAGTCAATATTAGTCTCCATTTACATTAGCAAGCTGTTTAAAATATTGTTTCTTGCTAGCCTATTAAAAATCATTGGCTTTTGTCACATCTCTGGGGTAGCCTCGCTTGGCCAGCCCCTGTTCCGTACCTGGAAGCCCAAGGATTGTGAAATAAGGCCGGCACTCTGTAAGACCCGAACTCTGACTGACGCAGCTCCTCCAGAGGCCTTGGTACTGGAATACAGCTGTCACTGGGTTGTCATATAAGTCCTGCGTACTCCATGCATCCATCGCTGTGGCTGCAATACAGCCAGCGAAGCCCAGGGTTGAGACCACAAAGCCCAACACTTGGCAAATTGTAGTGGACATGAGACCTCCTTTGCAATCAGAAGCTGCTACACCACTGGCAAAGCTTAAGGAAGCAGTGAAGTCCCATTCACTGTACCAGCCAACAGTGGCTGCCCTTATCAGATGGTTTCCATTAACAGGCTTTGTTGACTCAATGTGTTTTTGCAAGATAGCGCAGTTTCAGTTCTGTTGGTTGGTGTGTGCTTTGGGGTTGGCGGGAGTGAAGACTGGTGCCTTTGTCCCTTAGAAGCCCTTGTTGGCCAAAGAGTCATTGTTGGACTAATGGAGGTCAACCCGCAAGCTGCATTGAACAATCTGTTCATATTGCACATGATCAGCCCCCCTCATTCTTACTCCTGTTATTCAGCTTTGCTTATTCCATGTACCTGACATGTTGCTGATTCCAATGAGACGAAAGGAACTGAGGGCAACACCAGCATTACAAGCTATATTTTCAGTGCTTTCCAAAATGACCTGCTCTCGTCAGCATCATCAAAGTGTACTCCACTGTAGACTTTTAGCGATTGTTATGTGAAGTGGGACTTTAAAAATATATATATATTAAAATCACATTGCATTTTGTGACTGTTTGCTTCTTGCTTACTTGGAATTAGATCTGTCTCTTGAACCAGGAAAGGTGTAAAACGCATTCCTTGCAAACACTCTAAAACTGCTCTGCTTTCAGAATAGGAGAAGCGATAACGCTCCCCCTTTGGGAAAGCTATTCAAAGGACCGTCTACTTTGCTTGAAAATAGCAGGCTAGCTGAGAGGGTATAAGGCAAACTCAATGGCTCACACAGATCTGTCCCCTAATTCCTTGTCTCTGATTTCTTCCCCCATCATCTGCTGCCTAATGGTAGGGCTGGAATAAAATGGCTCTGATGATTTATGTTCTTGTACTCTTGCTGCTGAGTTCATCCATTACGAAACAGGGATGAAGACAGGGCCGCTGGACTAAGGCAAAACAGTTCTTTTGCTCTATTTTAATAGATGAGAGGTTCTACTGGTGCTGATTAATGCCGAAAGTTAATTGGGGGTGGGGTGGTAATCCCTGCACATTTTTATAAAGCTGTTACACAACCCGATACCATGAATCATTCTACTGAATTAACAATGAGGAAAGTGTCTTGGGCTGCACCCCTAGAATAATAAATTGCTTCCTTAACCTAATCTTTACCAATGTGCAACCCCTTTATCTGCTACATTCATCTAGTACTGTGTTGACACAAGAGGAAATGCAGTAGAGGTCTGGACGCCATGTTTGATTTTGCTTCTTTCAGGTTTAGAAGAGTTGGGAGGAGGACTGAAAGAATACCAACAAAATATGAAACATTTAAATAAATGTACAACGGTGAGCACTAACATGCCGATAGCAAGGATAGAGCATAAATGTCTCCGAATCATAGCCCTAAACGGAGTAAATAGTTTGGCTGGTGCCATTTCCATTCCAGTCTAAAGCGTATCAAATGGTGAATAGCTTAGTCACTGTGCCTGTCTAGTCCCAGGAACAACTATTGTATTTCAGAATGGCAGAACAATCTGAGATACTACAGTAGTTAACTAGGAACAATTTATTGTTACAAAGTGTCTGGAAAATCCAGGGTAAAACTAAGACTGGTGCAATCTAATCGCAAAACATTTATCTCTCATCCCAGCTCGTTTTGGGACTTAACTCATTCAGTGTGTACCCTGATTTGCATATGATAGTACAGTAATCCATAAACAATGCTTTGCTGCAAATAAGCAATGTGCTAGTGCATGCTTCTCGATTACAACCACCCTTCTCTACCCTGTGCCAAGCCGAGAAGAAATAAACTAGCTTAGTGTTACATGCAAACCAGCACTCAAGGTTTGTTTCTCTCTAAACAACCATGAACAGAATCTTAGGTTTGTTCTGGTTATGCCAGTGCTCTGGTTTGTTTCCATGAAGGGATGGGCAGATATGATTGAGCAGCATGCACCAGCAGTAACCCATGGTTTGTTTTAAACCACAGGTCACATGTGAACTGGACCTGAGTGAGTTTATTTCTGAATCAAATAAATTTTGTGCCAAAGAGCCACAAAGTTTCTTGAAATAAGTAATATGGGCATGAAGCCTTTTGCCATAAATGTACTACTACAAGTTACAACTGAAAACACAATAAACCTCTGTGTACAAGAGACACAAGGATGGCCTGACTATACAAACAACCCAAGTGACTGTTTTGGACAGCAACATTTTTAGAAGCTATTGTGAAGCAGCTGGCAGTCCAAAAGCATGTCCCAGGATACCTTGCAATATTTCAGTAGAACCCAGGACCTGCTCTCAGAACATGTGGTAAAGCTGTTTGGGGTTTGAAAAATGTCTAGGGATGACCTTAACAGGCGGGAAACATATAAATACACAGGAGAGGAGACTTTAGCATCCTTATGCTCACTGAGAAACCAGCCTAAAGTGACACTTGATGGCACAACTTAATTATTGGTTCAACTGGAATAGTGACCTACACAAAGAGGTCACCCATCCATAATCCTGCTTCCATTATTTCCCAGATGACCATAACAGCAGAACCTCAGCCCTAATCAAGCGCACTGTGGCTGTGTTTGAACACTTGCCCATGGCTCCATCATTATTATTATTATTATTATTATTATTATTATACCACCCTATACCCAGAGATTTCAGGGCAGTTCACAGAACAAAAAGCCATAGCTGATAAATCATGGATGAGTCCTATGGCCATGTGTTTCTTTATTGCCCCTCCCCTCTCTTCCCCCTGGTTTATTATCCTGTTTTGTTAACCAACATCAATCCAGAGTTCTCTGGTTCAGACATCACAAAGAACACTGGCATAAGGTAAGCTGGAATCTCTGTGCCAAAGTCTGTGAGTATAGGGAGGAGTGAAGGAAAGAGAAGAAACGAGGAAGGAGTGAATGGCCATGGCTCTTGTCTAGAGCTTTATGAATCATAGTTTATCAAGTTGTGGATGAACGTACCAATGGTGGTTTTGGTTAGAAATGCCCTCATACAAGCTAAGGGAGAACAGCCGTTTTATAGGTGGTTGTTGGGAAAGGCAGAATGGCTGTAAGAATTAGGAAATTAATTTCGTTTCTCCACTGTGGTAAATGGCTCTGGGGAGTGATATAAATTTGCCAAGCTGCTCTGCCAGATGCACGGCAGTGAGTTACAGAGGCCTTCTGGACTCCGGGCTCATCAATTCTGATCTAATACACTCCTGCAACTGATTTACTTCAACTCTGACCTAGAAACAAATCCAGCTTTTACCCAGTCATGCTACTCTTATTTTCGACAGACACAATCAATACAATATTCTCATTGTAAATTGAATGAAAACTATCATTAGGAGGGATAATTTACAGGGAGCTTAGTATGTATAGGCTATTATATAAACATGTCGGTAATAACTGCCTAGGTGGGCTGGGCATCCCAGTAATATATAAAATTTAAGAGGCTGGATGTTTAACTATATGCATGATAAAGAACCACACCATCTAGCTGAGCAGATAAACATTGGGTTGCATCCAGCGTAGTTATTGTGCTGGGGAACGTTATTTCACAAGGCAAAACACAAGTACATTACCAAAGATTGTTGTGCAGCAGATTGCCTAAAAATCTACTGTTGTGCAACAAGAACCAGCTGTTGCTGAAATAGCTTCCACTAGTGCACTAGTCCCATGGACTGCAAACCTATCCATTCTTAAGGAAATCAGCCCTGAGTGCTCACTGGAAGGACAGATCCTGAAGCTGAGGCTTCAATACTTTGACCACCTCATGAGAAGAGAAGACTCCCTGGAAAAGACCCTGATGCTGGGAAAGATTGAGGGCACAAGGAGAAGGGGACGACAGAGGACAAGATGGTTGGACAGTGTTCTCGAAGCTACCAGCATGAGTTTGACCAAACTGCAGGAGGCAGTGGAAGACAGGAGTGCCTGGCATGCTCTGGTCCATGGGGTCATGAAGAGTCGGACACGACTAAATGACTAAATAACAACAAGTGCAGCAATTGCATTGGATTTTTGTTGTTGTTGTGTAAGCTAGCAGACAGAGAATGTTGGATGGGGGGGTGGATTTTGGCATTGCACAGGGTGCCATGAAAATTTGAGATGCCAAGGTCCACCACTGCTGGACTACATCTCACATCATCCCTGACCACTGACCATTCTGTCTGTGTCTGATGGGAACTGGAGTCCAGCAACATGAAGAGGGCTGCAGGTTACTCTCATGCTAACGACAAGGTTAGCCTATTGAAATATTTGTCGATTGTCCAGTGAGCATCAATCTACTGGTCCTATTCATCCCATGATCCAGTGAAGAGATTATTCCAGCAAGATGGGGCAAGGAGTCCCCATTATGGACTACTCATCCCAGACATGAATTGTATTGCACTTGTTTGGCTCATGCTGTGTTATAGTACAGGCAACCAGATTCGTGCAACTTATTCTTTGCCACTGAGTCACACCCTAACTCCTAGTTTCAGCAGCACCCACCCCTTTTATCTGCCCTTTCCTAAGACAAATGTGTATTTGATCACTGCACCCACTGGAACATTTCAATGTTATCATTGCTGCTCCTACAAAACTACCCGAAACTCATGTTGACTTTCTTTTTCGGTAAATATAGCATACTCCCACAGAATGACATCCAGTTGGAAAAACTGGGGGAAATTAAGGCAACTCCACCCTTTTCTGTACAATACTTCTTATGCTGTGGACTTGAACCCAAAGAGTGAAACTTCAGTAATTGGAGTCTCTGAATGGCTTTGCAGGATGAATTAGAGTTTTCTCTCCAAACACAAAGACTCTTAGTCCGAAGGCCTTGGGGCTGCCTTTGTTCATTTACCATGTCAAGTGCCAATCCACTTTTTCGGAGCCCACCCAGTGATTAATTTGCATATCAGATATGTTCATGTAATACATCTGATCCTCAGAGTTATAAAGGCAGGGACTTCAGTCTGCATTGGTCCTCTATCTTCACTGGTGTAGTCAATTTAAAAAATGCAGCCAACACACTGTAGAAAAGGATCTAGGGGTGTTGGTGATCT